TGGGCAGGGCAGCTCTGGCAGTCCGCTTCTCTCGTCAGCATAGAGTTCACATACTCAAGCGCATGCCTGCCAAGGCACTAGGTTTCCAGTCACCTTTGAGTTTTATACATGTGAAGCTGTGTCCCGTCCTGTCAGCCGTTGTCCCCCCTGCCCCACCTGCGGTGTTCTTGCGGTGTTCTGCTTGGTTCCCCACCAAGAATGGGCACAAGCTCTGGCCACTGATGCCTCCCTGTCCCTAGAAGCATTTCAGAAGGGAAGGTCATGAGCACGGCAGCTCTCTGCCTCCCACATCGAGTCTTTATTGCCATCCCTGATGCCCGTTTGGGCCGGCCTGTGCCCTTCAGGCAGCTCGCATGCCCCGGCCTACCTGGTCCAGCCAGGATGCTTATCAGCTCATTGCTCAGAGAGGGCAGAGCACTGAAGCTACCTTCCAGCTTCTCTGAATCACCGCGACCTCCTGGCCGTCAAGGTGACACAGGCCATGGGGTGGCACAGGCTCCGCCCCTCCTTATCTGCTGCTATAAGAGTGCGTCCGCTCACATCTCTCACATCGGGACAGGGTCGCTGTCTGAGGCCCTCAAAACGGTCCCACGTCTGAAGTTCTCGGGATGCCTTTTCCACCCTCCAGATATGCACTTCCGCTAAATAAACAGATTTGAACATATTTTGGTTATAGTTTCCCAGCTAAAGGATGTAATATATGTGTGCATATTCTGCATGTCTCTTCTTATGTTCACAGCACGGGCTGAGTCGTCATCTTTCCAGTTGACAGTTTTACCTCTGATTTACATTGAGCCTGCTGTGTTTGACATGGGTATCCATATTTTCCCTTTTCAAATCCCTTTTACTGTTCTGTTTTCCCTCTCGTGTTTATCTGGATTTGCTTTCCCTCTGTGGATGTCCATGTTCTGAAGGAGGTGTGGGTAACAGGACAGAAGCAGGGTGGCTGTCTTCCCCTGCACATGCAAAGCCTGCCTAATCCCAGCTTCTCCTCTGCTGTGGAGCCCATTCCTTATGTATTCATTGTCCGTATCTTTGGCTGGGTCTTACAGATGGGGAAGGTCACTGGTTCCCTGACGAATGAACAGATCAGCAGGCGGTCTTTCCCACTTGTGGAACACCAGGGTGGAACCCAGCGTTGTGAGGCATCGTTTCCTTGGGGGGGCTTTTCCTGGTGACGCTGGCCCCTTGAGATTCAGCTTGGCCCAGCCCTCTCTCTGGGATCATTACTGCGGGCAGTCACCCATGTGCTGTCTGCCCACCCCCAGGCTCCGGAAATAGCCCCTCCATTCTGAAAGCTCTGTGTTCTTGTGTTTGTCTTGAGCTTGGAATGGGAATGGGACGTTCTGATTGATTTCCCGGCGTGGGCCAGGTGGAGATGGAGCCAAGCTTATATTGTAGACAATAAAAACATCAGAGTGTGAAAATGGGAGTCTGTCTGTCAGATTAGTGGTGATGACTAATCCCCACCACCACCCCCCACTGCCTGTTATCAGAACGGCATCTGAAAACAATTCACTGTACAATGCAGTGCGATAGCAGACAAATGAAAAAAGCCCCCAGGACTGTGGGAAGGGCCAGCACCCGAACTTAACAGTATCCTTCACGTTTCCAAACGGGCTTGTTCAGCTGTTTGTCTGGTAATGTGTTCTATTACTCCACAGGGCGCCTGTCTGGCACGGCGCATAAGCCGTTTATTGGCATAAAGCGTGACTGTGGCTCAGCACAGGGCGGCCCTTCGCTTCTGACCGAGTGCTCCCTGTTCGCATTGCTGCATTCCTAAACCCATGCAAATTCAGCCTTAAAGGGACGGTCCTCTCTGGAGGACCCCTCCTGCAGTAGGGTGCCCACATGCGTTCCATGACACGTACGGCTCATCTGCATTTTAGGCTTATTGCAATGCAGCCAGATTTGTGTTTAAACAATGACACTTATTTCAATAGATTTCTCATTGATTTAGCTATTAATTTACTAGTTAATTTGTTCATGTTATGGAGCGTCTGGGCCAACCAACCCCTGATCCCTTTAACCCACACATCAACGGTTCTGTCGGATGAGAGAGGATGATAGTTGGAGTGCTCAGTAGACTCTACCACACATGTAGATGAAGGTGTGGATCTTGGCCTGCAGGGGATATCGAGGTAGCTGTGGCCCGTCCCACATGTCATTCTGGGGACCGCTTGCCACGCACCGTGTGTAGCCAGATACCTGCGTATCCTCTTGCTAACCTACCAGGTTCTACATCCTGATCAAATCTTTCACATTTGACCTTTGCTCCATCCATCCATCCATCCACCCACCCAGTACAGGCTTGTCAGTGTGGGCAGCGCCACACCATGGGCACGATGAGGATGGTGTCCATGGGGCCCTGGGCATGATGAGGGCAATGCCAGGCATGACAAGGACAATGCCCACAAGGCTCCGGGCACAATGAAGGCGATGCCCAGAGGGCTACGGGCACAATGAGGGCGATGCTTAGAGGGCTACGGGCACAATGAGGGCGATGCCCACAGGGCTCCGGGCACAATGAGGGCGATGCTCAGAGGGCTACGGGCACAATGAGGGCGATGCCCAGAGGGCTACGGGCACAATGAGGGTGATGCCCACAGGGCTCCAGGCACAATGAAGGCGATGCCCAGAGGGCTACGGGCACAATGAGCCCGATGCCCACAGGGCTCCGGGCACAATGAGGTTGATGCCGACAAAACTTCGGGCACAATGAGGTCAATGCCCACCAGTGTTTTCGTCATAGTTATCGTCAACAACCTTTATTTTCAGACTAAAACGAGACGATAACTAAATAAAAATTATTTCGCGAGGCCTAAGACTATGACGAACTGTACCAACAATTTCAATAATAAAATGTTTAAACGAATAAAACGAATAAAAATGAGACAAAAATGTTTGCCTGAGACGAGATCCAGTCAGAACTAATGTAGTTCGCGTAAGACAGGTGTATTCAACTAAAGTTTAAAGAGGTCCAGTTAGAGAGAATTTCTTGAAGCAAAGGTCCGGAAGATCATAATGTCTGTTTAGTGTGATGTATATTTAAATCGCCTATTAGTTGTATCAACATTGCATATAATACCTCACTGTCAAATCAAATTAATTCAGGACAATTCAAAAACTTTTTGACAATATTTATTGTTACGTGACATAGAACTGAGCATATATGTTTGACTGCCGATATGTATAATGTTTTCTCTTTTACTAAATAAAATTATGGCTGCATTTCAAAATAAGAAAAAATAAAATGTCAAAATTGTGCGTTGAAATAAAGTGCTTAACTTAAGCCGTAAAACCCTAATACAGCCATGTTTATGTCATATATTTTAGTGTTCATGGATTTAAGTATTCGTTTCTGTAATCCCACACCGGTAATAAAATTAAAGTCTCGTATTAATATGAATACATACAAACTTTATTCGCTATTAGAGCAGAATATGGGTGGTCATATTATTTTGAAAAGATATAAAATGTGATTTTGTGTTTTTCTCATACAGTATTTGTCAAACGCAAATGGAATGACAAGCCGTTTCAGGCGAAAACAGTGCATTTTACTTTTCATTTCAAATAAAACGCGGGGTTGCCAACTTCGGCCAGCAGGCTGGAGTGAGATGGTCAGTTCGAGATGTCTGCACACATATGTTACAGATCTTACCTTGTAAATAGTCTACTTTTGTGTTTAACCGTGGAAATACACTTTTGACTTATCTAATTTTAGGTTTATAATGGTATAATATAGATTTGTCGTAAGAATTCCTGCGTGAGTCTGAAAGTGTGAGTGTCACGCCAGATTCTTGAGCTTTGGCAGCCCTGAAAACGTACATTTTTCTTTCCCCTGAGTTGATTTATATAACAAAATAACATTACTTTATACAGTTGTTAAAAAGTGGAAACTTCAACGAACATGAAATCACCAATAAACTACCTCTACAAATATTTATTTTAATATTTCTATTTTAATATTCAGAGAGAGCAGGCCTGGTGGCATTATAGCCTATGCACTTTTTCTTTGAAGTGATGTTATTTTTGCACTAATGGCACTACTGATTTTACAGTACTCAGTTTCTGGGTAAATAAACACATGTTTGTGTTTCAAATAAGAGGGAAATGTGTGTCTTTGTGTACTGCACAGTCAGACCTTAACACCATTCCTTAACATTGGTTTCATTTCATCTTGGTGAACATAATGACTTTCAGAAATCGAAGGGAAACTTTAAACATCATACTTTGCACTTTTAATTTTAGTCGACTAAATCAACTGTAGTTTTAGTCGACTGTAATATTATGATATTTAGTCAACTAAAACTAGATTAAAACTAAAATAATTTAGATGACTAATTATGACTGAAACTAAATTACATTTTAGTCAAAAGACTATGACTAAAACTAAATGAAAATTTGCTGCCAAAATTAACACTGATGCCCACAGGGCTCCTGGCACAATGAGGGTGTTGCCCACACTAGGCATGATGTGGGCAATGCCCATGCAGCTCCAGGGACAATGAGGGCAATGACTATGGGGCTCCAGCCATGCTGAAGGTGATGCCCACGGGGGTCTGGGCACACTGAGGGTGAAGGCCATGGGACTTTGGGCACAATGAGGGCGATGCCAATGGGACTTTGGGGACAAAGAGGGCGATGCTCATGGTGCTTCGGGCACAATGAGGGTGATGCCCATGGGACTTTGGGCACAATGAGGGCGATGCCAATGGGACTTTGGGCACAATGAGGGCGATGTCAATGGGACTTTGGGGACAAAGAGGGCGATGCCCATGGTGCTTCGGGCACAATGAGGGTGATGCCCATGGTGCTTTGGGCACAATGAGGGTGATGCCCATGGGACTTTGGGCACAATGAGGGCGATGCCCATGGGACTCTGGGCACGATGAGGGCGATGCCCATGGGACTCCGGGCACGATGAGAGCGATGGCGGGGGCCGCTTCGCATGACAACAGGCCCGTTTTGTTAACGGCTTCTGGTGTTTTGTGCACCAGGCGGCTGGAGGAGGTGGTGTTTGACTGTGACTGCCGCATCCGCTGGATCCAGCTGTGGCAGCAGAGGGGGGAGGCCGGCTTGCAGAATCAGCAGCTCTACTGCAACAGCAATGGCTCGAAGACCCCTCTGCAGCTCATGAACATCTCCCAGTGTGGTAGGAGGCCACCGCTGCCACTATGGTCTGTCTGCTCCACCTTGCTCAGGTCCTAAACTCCGCCCTTTTCTCGCTTGATGTTTCTGCCCAGACTTGCCTGAAATTAGCATGACTCACAGCAACCTGACTGTGATCGAGGGGGACAACGTGACATTCACCTGTAATGGCTCGGGTGCTCCTCTGCCAGAGGTGGACTGGATGGTCAGGGAGCTGCACTCCATAAACACACACCAGGTGAGTCCACACCAGGAGGTCTGTCATCCAGCACTATGTCTGCAGCCGACCCCAGCTCTGTGAGCATGGAGTTTGTGCCCGGTATATAGATGAACCTAATGTGCATTCTTAATGGACTAGGAATATTGCAGAAGGTTAGTTTGTCTGATAATTTGCATGCAGATGTTCTGGCTGCCTGATTGGCCGCTAACCTGTGATCCTGCTTCCCTGTCCCTGCAGTCGTTCGTCTATTTGCCCAACGTTCACTCTATCAACCTGACCCTGGTCAACATCAGCCGGGACGACAACAGTTTCGTGCTGACGTGCATCGCGGAGAACATGGTGGGGATGACCAACGCCTCGGTGCAGCTGGCCGTGCAGTGTAGGTCCACGGGAAACTCCCGGAAACCGTCTTAAAGGGCAATCACAAGCCAACTCTCCTCAAAGGTTAACGTGGCTGAAAAAGAGGTACCTGTGTTGACTCAGCTAATTAACAGGCCGGCACCTCTGAGCCCATGAGAACACATCCTCCCTTCATATATGCTGCAGCCAGGAGATGTGAAAACTGATTCCAAATTTGGAGCTCACAGAAACACAAGCATATACCACCCAGCATGTTCACACGTTTACAGCAGGGTGTCACGTACAGCTGGAGCCGGAGTGGGGGGTAGTGTTCTCGCAGTGCACGCCACGCACTGCGCTCGTGAGCTGTAGCGGGCGGTTCCCTCAGATGTAAGTGCTGACTGCTGATGTCTGGTCACATGTCCACCTGCCAGGCTGCGATGCTATCGATGCAGCCTCCTCTTTCATCATGTTTTACGGATAGTCATGCTGGCATTCTGGGTGCCCCCTGTGCCCTGTGCTGCCTGGAACAGGGTGCAGGCCAGCAGATATCCAGTGCCGGATCAGCCGTGATAGCAGATAAGTATCAGCGTGCTGGTTAGGGCAGTCTGCTTTGGCTCAGTACGCAGGGTTGATCCTGTGAGGACTTTCTGTGGCGCGGGAAACCTGCCCTTTGGGTTCTGAACCTTCCCACTGGATGACATTGCGCGTGGGTGAAACACCACACTGTAAAAGACTGCGGTGATTATTTCCACGGAGTGACGGCTGTTTTGTGCCGGAGAGAGCTCGTCTCAGGGAGGCGTGGCCACATGTCTGTGTGGCCCAGTGGCTGGATGCATTCCCAGTGCAGCTGCCGTGTCTCCCTCACTCACGACTGAGCTTACGTCCCTCCCGGCCACTGTGGGTTGGCTTGGCAGGAGTGGGAGGTACAAGTGGACGGTGCGAAACACCGATCATTCTTCTGGGTGTGTCTCCCCCGCGCCTCGCTGTTCAGGGAACTTCCGCTGTATATGACAAAGGCACCATTTTGCTGAGGGAGGGATTTTTATTTTTTTTTTGGCTCAAACGGCAGGAGCAATTTGATTGGTTTATTAAATAGGTCAAGGCGTGCATCTAATGGAGGAAGACGGAGTGAAGTCACTAATAAGTGAGGCCTTCTCCCAGGAGTGAGAGCCGCAGCCCACTGGCAGGAAGGCGCCGCCGTGCGGGGGGGCGGTAGAGGTGTAGCTGCACTGCTTTGGCGTGATGCAGTGCGTGAGTGTCGCTGAGGCTCATTACAGCCTGTGTGCTAACTAGCCCAACGGTATACATTCATGGAGGAAGTGTAGGCTTGTCTTGTGCGTTATTAATTTAATTTGTTCATGAAAAGAGGAATAATCATACACGACGGTACACGGTTGCTGTCGCTTGTCCATAGTTTAATTTGTCATTCCTCCAGTCGGATTGTAAATCTTGAGTTCATTATTGACCACATAAGGTAACGTACCTCAGTAGTTTCAGTCAGCTGTAATTCTGATGGTTTTACTGGTTTTATTGTAACATGTCCCCCCCCCCCCCCATAAGATAACCTTGGTAGGTCCCGTTTCTATGCAGACAAAATCAATAATTACGCCTCCTTCATCAGAAACACCTTTCAACTGCTGAAGATCCACAAATCAGATAGGTGAAGGCCTCCTGCTTTAGCTTTGCCTGGGTGTCAGAGCACGTCCTGAAGGGCCTTATTGGGGAAATAACGTGCTAGACTGGCACTGTTCTTTTGTCAGATCGTTTGAGGTGACGTGTGATGTGACAAAGCCTCGCGAGGAGATGAATCCTGCGCCAAGGCCTAAAGCATCAAAGCCATGGCAAACGTCCAGTGGGTGACATGATAAAACGAAACCTAATTAATAAGTTTATGAAAAATGAAAACTACAGCATATGTGACATGTTGCTGTGATGTGATGTTACTGTGGGGCGGCGTGACGTGAATGTTAGACAGTGTTTAAGGGACCTTCAAATACACAGTCATTAGTCTGCAGCTCTGCTGTCGATTGGATAAAATTACAGGATAATACCAGTGTAATCGCTCTGGAGATCTTTATATTTATGGGGAACTGTGTTGTCCAACAGAAGTGAAATGTAATACTCCCCATATCCAATATATATTGACGCCATGTGGTGCTACAATGACAATTATGACTCCAGCAGGCATGGAGATGGTGTTAGCCTGCGTCATGGAGATGGTGTTAGCCTGTGTCATGGAGATGGTGTTAGCCTGCGTCATGGAGATGGTGTTAGCTTGTATCATGGAGATGGTGTTAGCCTGCGTCATGGAGATGGTGTTAGCTTGTATCATGGAGATGGTGTTAGCCTGTGTCATGGAGATGGTGTTAGCCTGTGTCTGTGACTGGGACACGTCCTCTTTTTGGCCCCCTGTCCGGGCGTCCAGGCACTTTTTCAGAAATCGGCGGTTTGTCCAGGTTTAGCTCTGCAGCCTGTATGACCCAGTGTTACAAGTTACAGTTCTGTACCAAGTGAAGGAAAAGGCACCAATTTTCAATATACGGCAGCCACTCAGTATCGTCACACAGTGATTGCAAGGCTTGATAAGCGATATGCACGTCCCCACGTGTCACACTGCTTCAGTGAACTTCCGGAAAAACTGGCACTTTGACACTTTATTTTTGTTTTCGTAGAAACAGTGAACGACACTGTTTGCTTGAAATTTAATGAACTTTAGCTTATCACTTTGTAACTTTTGCTGAAAAAAGACTTGAAAAAGTAATTTGTGTATAGATTGTAAAACGAGAGTTAACTGTTTCCCCGGACACGGATTTTCATTTTACAGGGCATTTAGGAAAAAACTCTGTAATATTCATAACAGAAGTGCTACCTGATTGGCCAATGAATGGGAACTTCATTACTATTCATGAGAGAAGCACTACCTGATTGGTTACTGAACGCGAGAATTCATTAATATTCTGATCCCTGGACATGTTCTCTTTTTCGTTTCACCAAAGATGGTATCCCTAGGCTTCTGGAAATGTCAGGAAGACACGGAGCTGCAGGATGGGGCGCAGCCTCCTCCGGTGATGCTGATAACACATAGAGAGCGTCCGCTTAGCTTTACGCCGAGGGCTGAGCAGTTCCCATCCCTGAGTGGGGATGGCTGCTGTGCGGCTCTGTGGGTTACGATCTGAAGGTTGCTGGTTCACGTCCTGTGGCATAATCCGTAATAATCATGTCACAATTAGGCCTTTGAGCAAGACCCTTAAGCATAACTGCTCCAGGTTGATCCTTACTTGTGCATCACTTTGGACAAAATCTGCCAAATAAGTGCAATGGTACTGGATGATATTATCATGGCAGCGCTGCTGTCCATAGTGCACTTGCAAACGAAACAAACACACAGCAGATATATTGTAGGCAGAGGTGGAAAGTTCAGGTCCAGAAAATAAAAATCCTGACTAAGATTTTGTTTCAGCAAACCAGTTTAGTATAAAGAGTGACAGAGTATTCTTGGTTGAAACAAAATCTTGGCCTGAATTTTTACTTTCTGGACCCGAACTCTTCACCTGATTGTAGGTAAATAAGAAACAGCTGCAGCCACTGACAGTGTCTCTCACTCCCTGGCTATTGATCCCTAGACCCTCTCTTAGTGGCACCTGTGCCGGATCCTGACAGGAATGTCCATGTATGTAAACACACCGTTCCCGGTGCTGTGGATGCACACGTGTGAAATGATGTCTGCCTTTTCTCTGTGACTGGCTACCGTCTGATTCACTGAGGTGTTTAATTACTTTATGTAAATGCATGAGCAAAATAGATTAACCTTATACCTACTTAGTGTGGAAGGGAGGCGTGGTTTGGAAAATGAGTGCAGCGTGAGGTGAATTGTCTATTTTTTTTTTTACAGATTACAAAGTAGAATGACTGAAAGACATCAGTTTGCATGAGTGCTTCATTAAATTCCAATAAGATGGAAATCTGACATTAATATGTTGAAATATAAGAGCAAATGAAATATATTCTGCTATGTAGGGATGAATTAATCAGCATATTTTCCTCTAGTGGTCATTATGAATGTAAAACTGGGTGAAAATTGGTTTACTGCTCAGTTTTTGCACCTCTTAAATCATCAAAGTTGAATGAAGTGTCCTGAGTAGCAGACTGATACATCTGCTTCTAGTGTGATTTAGTCGAGATGGACTTTCCCAGTGCAGTTCGGAGTACCCTGATGTCACTGTGTGCTCATTCGATCCTGCCACAGACTCACAAAAAGTGAGTTTGTTGTGAGTTAGAGAGATTACCCTCTCATAGGTTTACACCTTGCTAGCTGGAGAGAATAACCTGTTGTGTAAGTTGCGAGGTTTGCTTGCCACTCTCATCCCTCGGGCGTCAGCGAAAGCATCCGCTGCATGTTTGCGTCTCTGTGTCCTCGTGTCTGATTGCTGTCTGGAAGATTTCAGCTTTCCGTACACATGGTCACTGTTTTGAAGCGTAACGTGTCCTGACTAGGCTGTGTGATGCAATTATTTTAACCTCCATGGGTGAGTAGACCAGTTTGATTGGTGAGGTAAAGTAAGGGAAGGACTAAAAAGAATAAATGTAAATCCTGAAGGTGCCTTTTGAAAGGGCGAACAGGAAGCTGTTATTGCAGTAAGCATTTCAACATTCTGGGTAATTAAATGATTAAATGCTCGGACCAGTAGAGCTTTTTTTGTTGTTGATTTCTGCCTCCGCGGTTAAATCTGCAAACCCCAAATGCCATTGTGCCTGCTGCGCTTATGAGAGATTCCACTGCTGAGGCTCATTGCCCTCCCCCCGACAGTCCCTCCCACCATCCTGAAGCTGGATGAGCCCGAGCGGCGACATGACACCTGCATCGAGTTCACGGTGCGTGGCTTCCCCCACCCCACCCTGCGCTGGCTCTACAAGGGCAAGGAGATCTCGCAGAGCGACTATGTGCGCACGGAGATGGACATCTTCCAGGACTACCTGGAGGGCTGCCTGACCTTCAAGAACCCCACACACCACAACAACGGCAACTACACCCTGGAGGCCTCCAACTTCCTGGGCACAGCCACCAAGACAGTGTATGGGCACTTCCTGACCCCGCCCTTTTCAGAAGGTACGTACTGTGGAGTGCCAGGTGACATCACCGTAAGAGCTGTCATGACACCTAAGTGACATTCACATGGTCTAAGTGCCAGCATCACGGAAAAGCAGGTAATAGAAAAGAGAACATTAATGAGAAAATGTGCAGTTTGTTTCGTATATACTTTTATTTCTGGATCATGCTGTTTTATGCTGAGTTTGTTCCATTGGAGGTGTCATGCCCCGCTCCGTCCACTCCTAGTGTGTGCCACGCCCCCTCATTATCCATGTGTGCTTTCCTGATTGTGCCCAGCTGTTGCCTGTTCCGTTTGCCTAGTCTTGTGTATTTAGTCCGTGTCTCAGTCGGTGTACCCCAGATCGGTCATTGACGTGTGTTCGTTGTGCTTTCCCCAGTCCTGTCCTCCGAATAAACCCCTGTGTTATTCGACTTCCTGGTCAGCTTGTCTGCTTTCCTGCTCCCCTGCTGCACTGAATGTGACAGGAGGTCACATTTAATATATTTCATCTGTCTCTCTGTCCTTTTATTTTCAGATTATGAAGGTAAGCTTTACTGATCTTCTTATGCATAGTAATAATAAGAGGGATTATATGGTGAAGAAGTTCAATGATGAGGATGAGGATCCAAGTGCAGGGTTGTGGTTTAATGAACCGAGATTCAGAACAGAAGTGATCCAGGAAAAAACGTGCAGAAGGGGCAGGTACCCAGGGCCCAGGATAATACGGATACTGAATACTGAAAGTTTTTGTGCAACTCGGCAAGGAGCGAGCGCAACCCGTGATATGGGCTGCAAGTGTCTCCAGAATTTGCATGAGGCGTGATCTCTCTGAGTGCTGATTGAAGGAAGGGTTGTGCAAAATGATTTTTTTCTTTTTCAGTTTAAGCCCCGCTTGGGAATATTCTTAATCAAGATACTAAAATAAGTGAATTCTGAGAGATAACTGAGAAAGAAATGCTGGTAAATCTATTAGTTCTATGAGGCTCATGTTGTGTTGCATTGCGGGATTAGTGTCAGGGTTAGGGTTAGTGTCAGAGCACAGCCGCCTTACGGGCCAAAGCAGCAGGACCGTTAGCGCGAGCCCATCAGACAGTCACTCACAGTGCAAGATGGTAAGTGGCTCTCTGCTCTTGGACCCTTAAGTAAGGTACTTGACCTGGACCTCTTCAGCTATATTAAAGGGTAAAAACTGAATGTGTGGGCAGAATGACCTGTTAGATAATGGTCTAGAAGAATCTGTTAGAGCCTTGTGTGATTTTTAATACATGGAAGTAGCTTGGTCTTTTTAGACAGTTAGATTGTTATCAGAAGAGAGGTGATGTGCAGAAAGGATGAATGTGTATAGGGCAGACTGGGAATGTAAGCGTGTGGGAGAGACTGGGAATGTAAGCGTGTGGGAGAGACTGGGAATGGAAGCGTGTGGGAGAAGCTGGGAATGGAAGCGTGTGGGAGAGACTGGGAATGGAAGCGTGTGGGAGAAGCTGGGAATGGAAGCGTGTGGAAGAAGCTGGGAATGGAAGCGTGTGTGAGATGCTGGGAATGGAAGCATGTTGGAGATGCTGGGAATGGAAGCCTGTGGGAGAGACTGGGAATGGAAGCGTGTTGGAGATGCTGGGAATGGGAGCATGTGGGAGATGCTGGGAATGGAAGCATGTGGGAGATGCTGGGAATGGAAGCATGTGGGAGAGACTGGGAATGGAAGCGTGTGGGAGAGACTGGGAATGGAAGCGTGTGGGAGAGACTGGGAATGGAAGCGTGTGGGAGAGGCTGGGAATGGAAGCGTGTGGGAGAGGCTGGGAATGAAGGCACACAGGACAGTAAGTATGTAAGGAAAAGCAAAAATACACCTGTAGGGCAGGGGAGGGCAGGCAGGGCAGGGAAGGACCAGGCCACTCTCTGTTTGCAACTTCACCC